GATTTCCATATTTCTATATTAAGTTTTTCACCTCTTGATCATGAGCTGGAAAGTAAACTGGGTCTCATGTGGTCATGGCTGCCATCTGCTGACAGAACTGGTGTATTATTTTGAAGAAAATGTATATTTAAAAAAAAAAAGATGAATGTGTTTCTCAGAAGGCAAACTTAAAATTAACATTATATTAAAAAAAAAATTATGTAACTTTGAAAATCAAGGAAGAACACAAAACATTCCATGTTTAAAAATATAAATGATAATTAAATTACAAACAAAAAAAAACCTTTATTGTGACCCCATTCAGTACAAAGCGTCAAAGTTGACTCTTGACTTCACTTCAGTCCTGACATGACAAAAAAGATCTTCATTAAAGAAAAAAAGTCTTTACAAGCTCATTTACAATTGCATGCAATAAAAAAAAAACTATTCAAATTAATGGTTATTACTAAAATAACACAGCTGGCAAAATAAATCTCTAAATAAACCCAACAGTGACTTTCAACTGTACAAGAAATCATGAGACTAATGATTTTAATCTTGTAAAAGCTTTGATTCACTTTCGGAGATTGGGTCCCAGGCACACTAATGTCTACACCCAAGACATTTTAAATATTTATATTAAGTTCATAAGCTGTAAAACGTACGTGACGGGGCCCAAACTCTTATCACATTATCTACAAGCTTGACAGGAACAGATCTACCTGACTACAATAAAACGTTTTAGTTTCTAACTGTTAAAACACGTTCCTTTACAACCGGACCTTTAGTTCGGTGGTTACAGTCTGCAGGTCCAAACTCATTCCCTGTCAACAAAAGGACAATGATCCATCTTCACTGAAGATGCTTAAAGGTAAACGGGACAGGAAATGACATGGCACTGTAATCAGATAACATTCAGTCAGGCAGAAGTCAGCACTTTAAATAGGAAAAATGAGATAAATTCATGGTTCAGGTGTCTTGGGCTGTTATTATAAAGACTACATATTACCCAGAAAATGATCTCAGTGATTAATACGGAAACAATCTTACCCGTGTTTATCAAATAATGTTAGATAACATGACAAACACATTTAAAAAATATGAAAGTCCATGACTGTCTTTCATAAAGACCAGAAAATTAATTTTTTGCTTAATAAAGAGAGCGAAAATAAATAAAACAAATCCTAAATAGGGTTATGTTTGAAGGAAAAGTTAACACCAAAATGTCTACTGGTGCTAATTTGGGGGGAACGATTAAAACTCATACTTGAAACAGATTTTTAAAAAACGTCCAGTTAGTCCAGACCGGCGCTCTTCGCAGCCTTCAAATGATTCGAGAATCATAAAAAGCCACGCAACTATTAAAATAACAAAGATTTTAAAAAAAGGAGGATCAAATCCTTATAAGATGAAGTCAAATTGTGAGTAAAACAATCACTAAAAAGCACAACATAAAATGTTAAATTAGTGTTTTACTTAATTTTTTTTACACTATCTTGTGGGTGTAGTTGTTCTTATGATTTTTTTTTAGATAAATGATAAGCTGCTAAGAATTTAGTTCAGATCCATTTGTGTGCCGAGCCAGAAGAGACTATCTTCTACATATAAAGAATCAACTATTTAAAATTTTACACTGTAACAACATATTTAAATCAGTGTACATTAAATTGTTCTACAGTATTTGATTGGTGATTACGTCACTAAGAAATAAACTGAACAAACTTGCTGTGATCTTTCTGCTTGTCAGTCGGTTTATGACTAGTTGCATGAAGAACATAAGACAACAAATTTTACACAATGTTACATGGTTTTGTGTTCGTGAAAGGTCCATGTATAACCAACAAATAGGGAAACACACAGATGTAGAGTTGATTACAAGTGAAAAGAATGTCAACGAAGTACTTCACGGTCTTCTGACCACTACTGGAGGCAGACATTTATGACATACCTGCAAACTCAGAAGGGATGAAAAAGGTGACGAACCTACGAGAAGGTGATATTTATAAGACTGGGTTTAGCTGCAGCTTCTCAGACTGACAAAGTCTTCTGGATAAATGACTAAAGCTTCAACAAGAAGAATCTGTCCAGAGGACCTGGTTTTCTACCTGGAGTATTGAGCATGCATCAGGACAAGTAAAGCAGAGTATTTTGCTAATAGCAAAAACACATTTCTTGTTTATTTATTTTGGAATGGACAAGCCTTTCAATAGCCTGTTCCTACTGCTTGGCCACGACTTCTTTCACGCCACTCTTGCTCCACCACTTCTGCCCTAATGATCCACCACAGCAGATGTTTTGATCACTTAAACAAATCACCGGTGTGTCGTGTTTCATTGGTGCTGAAGTTACGTGTTAGTTTTAATTTCATCTGACAACAACATATAACTGCCAGACAGCAATACAAGATGAATTAGATGGCCTTCGCAAAATTATTCACATTGAACCAAGTGACATTGTAGGCTAACGTTAACGCACATTTCACTGATGCTAGCTGACATCCTAGCTAGCATCACATGCTGACAAGATTTCCATTACAGATAACGTCATGTTGGAAAAGGTAACAGATTATATAACACACACAATGTTGTTAAAGTTGGATTATTTTTTGTCAAATCAAGTTTAACTTACACAGTCTATTATATTGTTGGCAGATAACGAGACTTTCCTCAGAACGAACAGTGTCCAACATTAGAAGTGACTGGTTATAACCCAGACCAGTTTCCTTCATCCATGGGAAAGATTTCCCAGTCATCTATTTTGATCGTGAAAGGCCAAATGACTCGCGTTCAACCAAATATGTTCTATTGTAGACAGAAACCTTGTTGTTTCTTAAAGTCCAGTCAATGGGACATTATGCCATCTACCATGTCTTTGAAACCCCGCCCAGGAAAAAAAAAACAAAACAAAACAAAAAACCTCTTCAGATCTAGAAGATTCACGTAAATAACATATTTTACTTGAAATCTGTGAAATGCACTGAAAAGCAACAAGTTTGCAGGTATGTTACGAGCAGTAATAAAAAAAATGTAAAAAAAATAGGAAAAAATAAACCTTGAAATCTTGACATCCTGATGTATGCTCAATAAAATGCCCCCCAGGCGCTTTCAATAGCTGCCCAATGCACCACCTGGTGGTGGATGGGTTAAATGCAGAGACTAATTTCGCCATTGTATGGAAACATACAGCACTGACATTGTGATGACATTATTATTATTATTATTATAATCCAGTTAGAACAATCTAAAAGTTAAGTCAGGTTCTCTGGATGGGTTAAAAAAAATTGTAGAACCGTTCCGACTTTCATTCGAAAGACTTCTTCAGTCTGAGGAGCTGTGTTCAGCTCAGTCTTATAAATAGCACCTTTTCATAGTGGATCAACCAGTTTGTTGTTGACATTCAAAACTAGCTGTTCACATGGTCAATGAGGACCACCCTGATGGCTGCTTGCTATTCACAGGAGGCTGAGTGATACTAGCAATAACAGCATTGTAAGAGGGCGACAGACGAACACGGAGACCTCCACCCGTTTAATGATGGACAGTTTATTTTTACAAACGGGGCTTCCTTTACTCCCTTTTCCTATACTTTAAGACTGAAGTTGTTTTCACACCTGATAGTCCGGTAGACTCGGTTCGACTGGGGACCCAGATTTGGAACATTTGTTTACCCTGATGCATGTTCAATAATCCAGGTAGAAAAATCTAAAAAAGTTAAATCTGGTCATCTGGACATTAAAAAACAACAACAAAAAAATTGTAGAAACGTTTCGTCTTTCATCCAAAAGACTTCCTCAGTCTCAGAGCCTCAGAATGAGGAAGTCTTTCGGATGAAAGATGAAACGTTTCTACAATTTTTTTTATTTAATGTCCAGAGGACCAGATTTAACTTTTTTTAAACATTTGTTTACATTTTCAGCTGGTGTGGTTTGCATTCACACTGCACTGAGTCAATGGAGCCAACCTGCTCCCTCCCCCTCAGCTGTGGTGGCGCTGCATCAAGAACTACTGACGGAAACGACACAAAAACCTGTGAAGACGACACTTCTTCTTGAAATAAAATCAAAAATAGAGTGGCGTCAAATTTGAGCGGTTTTACGATTTATGTTTTGTCATTTTTCAACAATGGACTCAGCGTGAGCAGAAGATGAAGCAGAAGACCATGGAGAATAGGGGTGCACCTCCTTAATTTTGGGAAATCGGCTGATACTTGCATGAGAAACCGATTTTACCAATTAGTTTTAACAACAATTGTCTAAACTTCATTTATATTACAGAGCACTACATCATGGCCAGTTAAAACAAGTTTGTATTGTTTCTAGGGTATTGTTCAAGTGTCTGTTTTTCAATAAGATACGATTGGAAAATTGAAGGTGCATTGTGACCTTATAACGCCCGACAGTGTCGCTTATAAAACAAAACTGGTATCGGCCAAAATTGGAATCGGCAGGTCAGACTTTTTAGAAATCTGTGTTAGGCCAGAAAACTGCAATCGGTGCACCCCTAATGGAGAATGTTTTTCACACAAGGTGGCTGAGACGGCTCTGTATGAGGTAAGAGAAATGCACATTTAGTTTTGGTTGTATTTGCACAGAATGCCCTGCGCTGTAGTCCACTTGTTGCTTTTGGAGTGGTCTCTGGTCCGCTTGCATTCACAATGCATTCCAACCGCACTAGAGTTCACTTCAACTGAACCGAGACCTAGGTATTTTAGGCGGACCGGAGTTCGCTTTTTAGGTCCGCATCAGAGTTTGATTGCACATTCACACTTCCCCAAACGAACCGGACTTTCTAGGCAAATGGACTAGAATTCGATCAAAGCAAACTAAACAGGGCTGGTGTGAATGCACCCTGACTTTAGTACAGCTCCTCAGACTGAAGAAGTCTTTCAGATGAAAGACAATTGTTTTATTTTTTCAACCCATCCAGAGGACCGGACTTAACTTTTTTAGATTTGAAATCTTGAGAACCACTAATTTCAGTTATAATAACCTACAATGCAAGTTTGTCCACCCACCTCTGCTTGTATTATGAATGTAAAAGTAAGTAGAAAGTACAAATATCCAGTAATGAGCTCCATGAATGAGATGGCAAGGGCAAATTAAAATTGTTTTAAGCTCAGGGTTCTTTCAAATCAAACCTCCAGTGAGAGGCGGCACTAAACTGCAGACTGATGTTAGGGAGCTCCAGCTCAGACAGTCAGAGACGGTTGTTGGAGGGTTGGAGGGGACTCCAGGAAGCTGTATGGGAAGTTGCATTCTGGGAGTATTGGTTGTCTTCTTTACTCACTCCAACTGTACACAGCCGTCTGTGTCTCAGCAGCCTGTCTGTCCGCGAAAAGTTCTGTAATGGAGACAAAAAACAAAAAAACAAAACAAGTTTGCTTCAAGTACAGCAGCAGACAAGGTTTTCACTTACAGCACATATGTCAAATTCAAGGCCCGGGGCCCAAATGTGGCCTTCGTTGACATCTTATCTGGCCCCCAAGATGATATGTTAAATGTACTTTTTTTCACTTGAATTTTTTCAATAATCTTTGATTATGATGTCAAAAGTGCAACAGAGAACATCAAATGAGACCAATCAAACTCTTTTTGAGGAACCTTCAAACAAGAAAAGATGTTGGGTATCTTAACTTGAGTTAATGTAGATTCTGAAACTGGCCCTTAGTTTGAAAAAGGTTTTAATTTTGGCCCCCTTTTGTAAGTGGGTTTGACACCCCTGACTTACAGTATAAAGATGAGGTGCGTGTTAAGTCTATCAGCTGTATCCATTACAGACTGACCTGATGACATCGATCACACTGGTACGGCTTCTCTCCACTGTGCACCCTCTTGTGTCTGTCCAGGTGGTAACGCTGAATGAACCGCATATCACATGCATCACAAGCATATGGTTTTTCCCCTGGAAGCAATCACAGATGTGGAACATTTATCAGTATTTTATAACTCTCTGCATTTCAGACTCTTGCATAACAAAAATGTTTGTTAAAAATCTGCAGGAAATGTGTTTTCATTCATTCAGATCCTTGAATTAATTTGTGATTTACAGAAGTTTCAGCTCATGTTCTGTGTGTTGCTCAGCAGTTTGACACAGGCTGGTTTTTTTTTTTTTAACATATAGGGTTAGCAACTCTAATCTCATCTCAAGTAGTCCCTCATGAGGCAAATAGAGACATATTAGAAAATCAAACGTCAAAAATCGTACATAGAGCTGTTTACACATGATTGTAGCAAGTGTGTATGAGGCCAAATTGAATGGTTTATCCTTGCAGAATTCTTCTGGCTCAACTGCAGTCGTGCAGAGCTCTGTAATAAACTTTGGGCTCTCACCTGTATGTGTGAGGATATGTCGCTTTAGGTGGTAGCTGCTCCGGAAAGCTCCATAGCAGTGATCACAGATAAAGTTCTTCTGAACTTTAAAGGAATTGTCGTCATCCATATCAAAGTGTGGCAATAACTGATATAAACAACAACACAATAAAAGGAAACTGAGTTTGGCTGCAACAAAATATCTAGATACATATTTCGTTTTAAGTTAGGGAGAGTTCTCACCTCCACTTTCTCTTTCACTTTGTGGGAAGATTTTTTGTGCTTCTTCTTGCGGTGCAAATTCTGGTTTGTCTGGGCATCCTTACTCTCAATGATCCTGGCTGTGTGATAGTCTCCGTCCTTTCGAATTAGCTTTTAAAAGAACGAAAACACGTGTATTAAATACACCGACACTGAAAGAGCTAGTGTGTTTGTTTTGACTGGTAGAAAGTACTAAACAGATAATCACACGAATGCTAATCCATTAATTAAACCATTAAACTTCACTTATAAGCATTTACAACATCATGAATGCAAAGTATAAGAGTTAGACCATTGACTGCTAAAGTTGGTTTATGCAAAGTAAAGTAATTATAACACTTTCTTCACATGAAGTAAACAAAGAGCAGTGGTTCTTATTTCTCTTACCAGTGGTGGAAGACTCCCGCCTGAGGGGTGTCCCATATGGCTGTGGTGGGCCTGTCCATGGTGAACCTGGTGTCCATGGTGGTTGTGGCTGTGCTGTGAGTGTGTCTGGTGGCTCCCAGGATTGGACCTGTGCCCCTGACCCATTGATGACATTTTCTTCTGGCCTGGCATATTGTTGGCCTGCATCAAGGCCATGCTAGACAATACCGCTTCGCAGCCCAGCAACCCAGCCTGGCAACACAAACCATAACGTGTCAGAGGATACAGAGGGAGGTGACAGGACCCCTCTCAGAGACGAGGAGCCAGAAGGAACTTGGAGGTGGGGTTGCGAGTAATGGGAAGTGACAAATTAATGCAACCGTGATGGTGATTCTGGAGATGAAGAGACTTCCACTGACCCATTTCATATGGTCTCGAACTGAATTGTTGGAATGGTGTGTCATCGCCGTGGTTTGAATGCGTGTGTGTTTGAGGGGACAGAGGGGGCTTCACTCAGGATGAGGGGTGACAGAAGATATCACACACACACCCAAATCATTCGGGGACCAAAGTCTGAAAACAGAGGCAGATGGATATGTGACCAGAGATTCTGGCCGAACATTATTGCACTCTGTTCATCCAGAAAGAGAGCCAGAGAGGTTTGATACCTTGGGTTTCAATGGATGACAGAAAACAACATGTATAGATTAAAAAGTAAGGTTTGATGAAAAAATAAGGACAACTTATGAATGGAAAATGCAATTCATATAGGTTTAATTGATAATGAGATGTTTCACACATAAAACAATAAAAAATGTGCCATAATTAAACTGTAGCAGGCTTGAAGTGGGACAGTCAACAGGAAGGGTAGATGCTGCTGGAAAACCACAAATAATGTGTGAAACCTCTACCACCCATGATGACCCATCCCATAATTTCTTTAACTTTCTGGCAGAGGACACTCTTCTCCATCCAATCAAAAACAACCAAAGTCCAAACTGGACAAAAGCTTCATTCCACACAAATAGGCTGCATAATCACTCAACTGAACATTTAATTTCTTATTTTAAAGAACACTGACCACTTTACTTATTCTAATTTAGTGAAAAGTAGAGGTTCAACAAGTATTTTTGAGAGTTTAACGCCGTGGAAATGATCTAGAAAAACGCAGTTAGTGGATTCAAAGAACAGTGTTTGCCTTCAAGTAGCTTCAAACTATAAACCTGTTTAATGAATCGTGTGGTTGTCTGAACTTGTAAAAACATTCACATTCATTCATCTACAAATCCTAAAGATTAAAAAAAAAAAAAAAAAATGGGCGAGAGATTTTTATGAGCACATCAGATGAAAAAGACCGGGACCACATCACACACTGGGCTGGAAAGCCAGAATGCTCTGGCGTTGATACGGAAGCCGAAAGTATTTGCTACTCTACACTGAACTCAAAAACCAGCTAACTAGCCAACACACGGGTTTTTTGAGACAATTCTTGAACAGTCGAACCGGGCCCCGACTCCTTATACCGGACCCGTACAGACAACAGGCGTGCGGGCTCAGCGCCCCGCTCATCCGCTGAGCTGCCAGAGCAAAAATGGTTTTAAAACGTTTAGAAAACCGCGAATAAAAAGTCCTGCAAATTTAGATGCCTACCTTTCGAATTTAAGGGGGCTGAGGATTATTAATTCTTGTCGCACTTCCAATTTTTTTTCCTCAGTTTACAAACACTGACAGGAAGTACTATCACCGGAAGTACTCCCTAGGAAGCGCCCTGATTGGTCCGATTGGTCACGTGACTAAACGTTCTGACCCACATTTACGACAAAGAGACGTAAAAATGGCGACGAGCATGTTTGTGTTTATGTTATCTTATGTACAACATTTATTTCACAATTTCGCAGTTAAGTTCAATTAAGGTACACTAAAATGTAGCGACGTTACAAATAGAACGTTCAAACGACCGAATCATTTGGGACAATTGTTCCAGAAAAAGATTCGATCTTGTTGAACGTCCGAAACGCATCACCGCAGCGACACCTGGTGGCCAAATTAATTTATGCACCCATCCATTTACCCGCTTTTCCTTTTCGGGTCGCTGGGGTCACTGGTGTCCAGTTATTACTGTGCAAAAAAGGCGCGGTATACCCTGGACATGTCTCCAGTCCATCACAGGGTCACATAGGGACAAATGAGACAAACAACCATTCACTCTCTCATTCACACCTAGGGACAATTAAATTTTAACAGGTCTCTCTTGTAAATGAGTCCTTGTGACTCAATGAGACTGACCTGTATAAATTAAGGTTGAATGAATTTAGAGTTGCCAATCAGTCCAACATGCGTGTTTTTGATCAGTGGAAGGAAATTGGATCTGGAGAAAACCCATGCATGCACAGAGAGAACATGCAAACTTCACCCAGAAATGTCCCGGGCTGGAATTTGATCTGGCAACCTTCTCACTGAGGGGGGTAATCATAAATCATAAGAGTTAAATGGAGGGCACATTTGTCACGTGATTCACTGGAGGGACATGAGCCATAACCAGAGGGAAAGGGTCTGGACATAGCATTGTTGTAGATATTGGCAGCAAAATAGCCCACAGTAAGGGCTGATGTAC